ACTTCATAATGATCTTTTTAATAAATATGAATTCCTTCTCTTTCTTCGATAATTTCAGTGAACATTCATATCAAAATATTTATTAAACAAATATAATATTGCCAAAATTTTACTGAAAAACTTTTTATCGGATAAGCAACAGATATAAATACAAGATTTAGTTATCAAAATACAAGGACAGAAATCACTTCCGGACAAACTAGGAAAAAAAAAATCCTCTATAGTGTGTATGATTTGGCCATTAATCTTAATGTATTCTCCAACAGACCCTTCTCTAAATTTAGAATAAACGAAACAAAAATTGACGCTGGGTATAGAGAAATATTTGAAGTTTTCAAATAACGGAATAATTAACCTTCTCTCTCTCTCTCTCTCTCTCTCTCTCTCTCTAATAACTCTTCAAGACCTATGGATCATTTATTTACAGAATAATTCTATAAATTTTGCATGACAATTGCTTTCACATTGTATAACAAAGTATTATATATATTATCAATTGAATCATTCATGATAATCTTTCAAGTAAAAAAGGTAATTTGCAGTTGGCAAACTTTTAGAAATAGCATTTTTTTTTAATTTAAATTTTAAAAACGTGAGGAAAAAAATTATTTTGACAAATGAGATGAAATCTCTACATGGCCAAGTCGCTAACTTGATTTCCACATGGCATGCAACTCGTCAGCCAGATGACGATTTGATCTAATTTGCTATAATAAATATTTTTCGCATGTTAAAAATCTTTAAAAAAAAAAAAAAACTGTTTTCAAAATTTTGCCATTATTGAGCAGCTGTAGCTTAGATGAAGATGAAGATTTTCATGACCAAGCTCTATTTGGAAATGCTATTACAGGCGTTATGAAGAAAGTCGAATTTTTTTAAAAAAATCTAACTTTAATGAATTTAGTGCAGAGCCGGCAAGCAGATGGGAAGAGATTTTGTCCAAAACTGCTATGGTTGGCGAAATAAAGGAGTCATTGAGCGGGTTGTCTCTTTCCAGCCATCATTTAATATTAATTAATTCTTTAGCACCTTCCATCTGCCTATAAATAAATGTATTGTTTTTCAGCATGAAGAGCCAATCCATCCCTCTCCTTCTTTCTTCCTTTTGCTTAGCCGGCACCAGTTTTTCTTTTAATTAAGCTCTTCTTCTTCTTCTTCTTCTTTTAAGTGTTGAGTTAGAATGAAAGGGAAAAATAAAGGAGGAAGTGACCGGAGGAGATCGATGGTGTATTGGTGCTGCTCAATCCGACTGCTTGGCCAATGAGAGAGAATATATATTGGTCTGGTCGTCCGATTGAGCCGCGCCAATACCGCATGACATCTCTTCCTTAATTTCTTTCTCATGACTAATCCCTCTAATCTCGATAAAAATTTTCATGTTATTAGTTATTAGCGGATTGGCAAATTAAGAATATGTGGTGATTAATATTTATGAACAGGTTTTTTTATAAAAAATTATAAAGCAAACAATTGATATCTTTAAATAGCATAAGTTGACATGGCTTAAGCTTGGTTTGTGATGACTTTCTTATTGTTTTTTAAAGCAGAAATACTAAGAAAGCTGTCCTAAATGAAGTGTTAATTGAATCTTTTAGCTTCTTACTTTGCCTCTGCGGTTTTAATTATGCTTATTACTAAACTTTAGTTTTCGATTCCCTGCTAGCTAGAATTCATTTTGTCTTTCTTTTCTCTTGAAAAAAAACTCTATCATCACTACTAGATTCATGTCAAGCAATATTGAAAAACTCTACCATCCCCTTGCCGGCACCACTACGATACTTGCTAGCTTATCTTTGCATGCATTTTTATTCTTCAGCAAGACTATAGGTTGCCTTAGGCCTCTACTTCTCGTTAATGCTTACGAACTGTTTGCCTATAAGTATTTTATTTTAGCTAATCGCTAATCAACACTTGCACTTGCTATTTTGCTCAGCTGCTGCAGAGAACTCCATCAATTCTTTTTCATAGCTGCAATCAAGATCATATATATGATCCGTTATTCACTTTGATGTTTTAGTATAATTTTTCAACATTGTTTTATTTTTTATTTTATTATTTTTTTTGTTGAGAGGAGAATGTTAGAACTTGGCCTTAAGTACAAAAAACTTTAGAAATCAATGATTTACGGGAGGCTTGCCTCAAGTTAGGGTAGGCAATATAACTTGACAGCACTAAACCTAATATATTTTATATTATTTACCTACCCTTGGTGGAAGCTCACAAGTTCAAGAAAATAATTAGAAGTCTGCACATGAGCTTGTAAATAATAAGTTCCATTGAGTCTTTATGTGACATGAACCTGTAAAAGGATGCACTCTTATTACCCAAAATAATATATTAGGTTATCAGAAAATCATTCAGGATAGACAAAAGAAATGAAACTAATAGCTAAACATTAATAAAGCTGGAGCAGCGAGTATTAGTTGTTTCCATAATCGATGGCATGGCTAGAACTATTGCAGTTAAAGTTACGCGGCTTAGCATTTGTGTTGGAGTTTATCCTTTTAGATTCTTTGAAAAGGGAGCATTTTTTCTAGAAACTGACCTAAATTCTTATCAAAGAGATTGGACTAAAGTTTGAAGTAACAAACTTTTATTGATTCATATGGAAGCTTACCTTTTGTGGTGAAGTCTATGCATAAAATGCCTTATCTGACACATTTTGAGTATATATATCAGCGATGTTCTAACTTATTATTTGTTGCATACAAAACTGTCTTTTGCACATGAATTTGAAGAATGGTTATTTAATTTGTCAAGTTACATTACCACCTAATAAGGCTCAGGTGACACAGCTTCCATCAATTGATATTGAGTCACTCGTGTGTCTATTTGCATGAAGGCTTATGAGCGTTATTAAATTTATCCTATATTTATAGTCTGATTTACAAAACTTCTTTACTCATTCATTTAAAATGATATCATAAGACCATTTTATGTGAATGATTTGAAACTAACTTCTTTTACCTCTAATGCAATCTAAAAATCTGTCAGAAATATTTCATCTGTATTCATCGGAAGGCTGTCGGAAAATCCACCGGAAAATTGTCCGCCGGAAATCCGAAGAAAATTTTGCCGGAAATGAACGATTTTCATGTAGTGATTGAAATGTTTCATCACGCCGGCAAGAACATTCAAATATCAACATAACATTTAATTTCTTCCTCTGCTGGTTTGAGTGTGTCGAATGACGGTTATGATGTTGTGGGTATGCAAAATCATGTCTTCTATTTCTAATCATATCTTGGACTTTGATCTTCATTTTGAAGGTATGTACGTTTCTAATAGTGTCCCTTTTATTGATTTGCATGTTTCTCCCATGCAGGATGCGTGTATTAATGTGGATGGTGAGTGACATAAGGGCTTGCACTATGTTTACCCTGTTGATCATTTCGATTGGATGGATGAATTCTCAGGTAATATCCGTTGTCATTGGGATATTTATGTTGTCGGTTCTATAGTGTCTTTAGAGGATTTTAATTTGGGTGTGATGAAAATTGAGAAAGTTGGTTTCTCTATGAGTTTAGGAAAGAAAAATAATAAAAAAAGTTTTTTTTAGTGGCCTTTGTGTTGTTGATGGTTGTTCCTCTGTTCTATATATTATTTTGTGGGTTTTTGGCTGCAGCTGTTATTTTTTTTTTTTTTCTATGAGCTATTGGGGACCTTGGTTGACCTTGTCCGTGGGTTTTCTTTTAGTGTTTGGTTTTGGTTGGGTTGTGGTGTGGCTTTGATATTTTTCTCTATTCTTTCTTTGGTTGTTCTTGGTTGGTTTGGTGCTGCTGTGTTTTACTAGGTTCTTCTTCCGTTGGCCATTTATTTAATTTTTATGTTTGGTTTCTTATTCTTTCTCTAGATTTTTTGTAGGTTTTGATGCTTGGTGGCTTTTACGTTACTTCTTATTGGCTGGAGGAGTTCTTGGATGTTGTTGAGGTGCTTATGCTATTTCAGAGGTCCCTTTTTGGGTAGCCCTCTCGCTGGTTTGGCTTGCCTCCCGTTCTTTTTGTTTGCTTATTATATTAGAGTGAATCATTGGCTCATAGGTTTTACTTTAAATGTTAAATTTTAGAGAGCTTATGATTCATTAAAGACTTGTAACCTCCTTTTTAAATTATTATGTAGGCCCCTATGTAGGTTTTATACAAAAAAATTAAAAATCAATCAACAATGTTTGTTGTCTATTGCTGTCTATTGCTATTTCATTGTTTGTTCAATTGAAGTGTTTGAGTCCTTTTGTATCTTGTTGCTTCTCTGCTATCTATTCATGTTTCCTTTTCAAGTTTTGGTTATTATTGGAGGTTGTTGCTTGTGTGCTCAATAATGGTTTTGGGAACGACTGGTGGTATTGTTGTGGGGCTTGATTGGGTTGCTACATTGGCTTGAGCTTGATTTTCCCTTTTTTGGGGTGGCTCTTTGCCTCCCTTTAGTTTTTTCTTTTTATAGTAGGGATCATTTTCTCCTCATATTTTTTTTTTGCTTTGTTACTGTAGCTCTTTGAGCATTAGTGAGCATTTAATTTATTTAAGGACTTGAAATCTTTTTGTTGAATTAACATATAAGTCCTCTGCGGATTTTATTTTAAAAAAAAGTAATCAATAGTCTTTTCTATATTTTAAATTTGTGCAATATTAGGTTTATATTTAATATCAACAATCATTTGAATTTTCTGAAAAACAAGACAGAAAATGCTCCACATGTTGAAGCTATAAGAAAATTTGAGTATAATTAGTTAGCAACTTTTTTAGGATAACAAAGGCAGCTCACCTCATAGCTTTTTTTTATTTTATTTTATTTTTTTTTTATTTTTTTTTATATGAATGCGATTCTACTTGTCCCAATGCTCGGCCTTTAAGGTGGTTTTATGATTACGCCATTTAACACCAAGGGATTGAAGAATCCAATGGCGTATATGACCAGGAAACTCAAATTTAGACTGCAATTATAAATATGATATGTTAATAATTAAAACTAAAAAATTCAAATTTGCTATGAAATAAATATACCTCAACTTCAGCTAACATCTTTCTTATATGGCTCCATACCCTTATTTTCTCCAATCAGGAATGATATTGGAGCCAAAACAGGGTCTCTTGCAACAACACCAAGATATGTTCCTAGCAAAGTCGACTCAGGTATGTTACAAGGGATGTTGTTTTCATTAACTTCTATATGAATTCGTGTCCCTGGCGGCATATTCTGTATATCAGCACATGTTGTTCTCCCTCTACGCCTTGAAGGATTTCCTTGCTCATCTACATAATTCCACATAAATTAATAAGCATGATAGGTCCTTGCTCATCTACATAATTCATTTAAAATAAAATGATTGTTAAAAAAAAAATCATACCGACGAGCCATATCCCCTCTTGTGTGGCTGGAGCTGCACCACCAAATGAATGTTGTGAAGCCTGTTGTGTCCCACTGCACTCAATCTCTTCTTGCGAATCTGGGTGTACTGAAGTAGAAGGTGTAATTGATTCAGTCTCCCTACTGGTTTCACCTCTACTTGATCCTCCTCTACTTGATCCACCTCTACAAACTACCTTCTTTGCTTGTCTGAAACGACTACCTCCTGCCATTTTCTGCAATGAAAAAAAATTAAAAGTTGTTTTTAGGAAACCAAAAGAGAGAATTAAGGTGAAGAAAACAAAGGTTTAAATATGATCATGTCGATAATATTCTGTGAGAAGATTGCAATAAAAAAAATGCTACAACCAAAAAGTAAAATTAATTTCTGATTTACAAGTAGCAGCTCAATCACAGATCTTCCGAGCAAAAATCAACAAATTTTCAATTCACCACAGTTTTTTACAATAAGGGTTATATTAAAAAACAGAAATACTGAAGGGACCAACTCATATAGTTGCCAGAACAAGCTAATTCAAAAAGCTATGCAGATTTTGGTATAGTTATCTTAGTTCAATAAATAAAAAAGTTCAATGAACCAAAAATACTTAGTTGACTTTTTTTTTGGTTTACTTCAATTGCAGTTATGAAGCATTTATTTGTAGCAATGATATTGTAGAGAAGTTAGATAGTGGTCCTCTGGATCAGCTGGCTATACATTTACTGGCTATAAATTTCCCTTTATTTTATTTTGAATGATAGAGCTTTTAAGCTCTCCATTGCAAATACCATCCTATCTTTTTTGTTTCATGCATGGTACAGATCATTTACTTCAAATATTGATAATAAAGTCTCTAATTCAAATCTCATATCCTCCCTTTTCTGGCAGAACTAAGATTAGTATATTTAATATGAATGAACTTTTTCAAGTCAATGCTTGCAACTTAAGCTTTATTGTTGAAGACGTTTTCTCCTCAAAATGGTTGCTTTTTAATTCTTGTAACTCTTTTCTTGTAAATTGCTTTAGAAACAATAAAAAAAACCGTCCCAAACGAAGTCAAAATAAAAATGTATCTTAAAAAAGGGGCAACTTTATAAAGATAATTACAGAAACACTTTGGAGACAATAATTTCATATAAATATTTAAAAAAGGGGGCATCTTTATATCTACGACATACTAACTGATCTAATTTGAAGATGCAACACTTGATATAAAAATTTATAAAATAAAAAAGCCAAGCATATGAAAAACAAGAGTATCGAGAAAAATGCCCCAAATAAATCTTTATTTTTAGACGTACTAAAAAGCATACAAATATAACTTTTATCAACTATTTCACTAGGCCAAATGCAGGGATTACAATGATATAATCAAATTGCAGGGCACTGAAGTATAACGAGGCATATCCATTGCTCAATGGATTAAACTACAAAATAAACGCCACCTCAAGGCCCAAACACAAGAAAGATAAACTAAACCTAATTGTTTCAGCTTAGTTCATATCAACTCCAGCCAAAATCAGTCTAACCTCCTTTTAGGACTGAAAAAATAAAAAAGGTCGCGCAAATCAATAACCAACGTCATCATTGTCAAAGAACCAATGAATTGCAAGGCATAAATACTTACCTCCTCCAGTAAGTAGGCAAATCAATAAAGCTGCAACTACTCTAAGTCCCTCATGTTAATCAAAGCAATCCTGCATGATCGATCCTTCCACGCAAATTTCATATATATATATGAGAAGTGGCATGAGCAGTTCATTTTCAGAGATAATTATCTTAATAAACAAAGAAGTTAGCTTGCCCGTTTGATTCAGTTCTCATTTGCCACGCTCGGGCGCTGAAAGCCTAAACAATTAATCTCTCTC